CATGCGCACAACTCGATGTGTGCGCCATACGCGAGTGTTAAGATCTGCCTTGGATTGCCACGTGCCTCACCGTTACCACGGACATTTAATTCAATCATTATGACAATTCACAATGACACAGCGCGCATTGTTTGAAAAACCGCTCCAAGGTGCCTTTCAGTAACGGACATCCTTCATCCATCCTGCACACTGCACTCAATTGCTCGTTATGCAAATACACCCAGGTAGTGCAGTGACCCGCACACACACGCACGCACACTTTTCTCATAAACCACGCGCTCCATTTGCATTCAATCCATGGCTCGCGCTAATCGCAGCTATGCTGCTGTGCGCGCACTTCGGCAGCGGCCGGCCACGATGGCGTTGCCGTTCTTGTTTAAGTTTGCAAACAATGTTCCAATCACTCGGCTGATTAGGCGAGGCGCTGGCCCCCGAGACTCTGCCAAGCGGGCCCTGCCACCCAAAACATGCATCAGCAACGATTTCCGACCGCCGCTTCCTCCTCTCCTTTCGCGATTCGTCGCGGCTCAGGGTGTCGGTTAATCGAGTTGCCATGTCCTCTCCTTATTACTCTCCAATCGCCACTGCCATGGCTTTACCGTTCAAACGATTTCTCCACCCACGTTCAGGACTCGGCCTACCAGAAGGCTCTATGGTCTCATCCTTAGTGAGTTCATCCACCGCACTGCAAGACCAAACGCGCTTCTCTTCCCATATCTTCCCTTGCACTGCTCCACTTTGCGATTGCCAGCCGACATTTCCCTTCTCAAGTTCCTGCAACGATTGCTCAATGCAAGAGGTGTATTAACTCTCGCTATTGCAAACGCCATTGTTGCTATTGGTCATTAGCGGCTGCTCAGTAACCGTGAGAGAATTTATAGAAATAAAATAAAAAAACAGATTCTTACGCATGTGATACGATGAGGCGAGTTAAAAAGGCAATATTAACAATTAATTGATGCATCGCTACGCCACTACCATTGCTCTCCCTCCCCTCCCCCCCCAGACATGGAATCCAATGACAGGGCGATGGACACGCTCGTCATTTGTCCCGTGACAATGTGTCGTATTGGTCTCCTGGAACCCATGTTTCACAAATTTAATTTTAAGGGGCACTTTTTCGTTTCATTTCGCGGCGTTTAGCGGCACAATTTGTTTCCCGAATGCCGATACGTCTGTCGCACGGGTGGGGGGGGGGGGGAATTTTTGTTCGAAATGAAAACGACGCATTCTTCAAAAACCGCGTCAATTTCAAGCGATCGCGCGGTCACTTTGACCTTGTGAACGTAGCCACGAGCGGACAGACGAAACGACAGGCGACTTAGTACTTCGTACACGAAAAATGAACAAAAAAATACGCAGAACGCCCCAGCTTTCCCTGCAGAACAAAAAATGCCACTGCAGAACAAAAAATGCCACTGCAGAACAAAAAATGCCACTGCATTTCGCGTGTGCCTGTCTAATTTCTAAACAGTCGACTAATTTACGCACCGGACACAACGCTGAAGGACCACCCCGGCAGTAGCGTGTACACGCACACACGCAAGTACAACTCTGGTCGACCATTTCCTCAAAACGACGGCCGATTATACGTTGCTGTTATAAGGCGATGCTGACGGCGAATGCGATGACATTTTTAACATTTCGCATCCTAATTCAAATAGCAATGATAATATAATCCACGGCCCGTTTTTCAATCGACCTTCTGGATGAAGGCCTTCCCAACCCCGTCGCCATCGCTCACGCTCCCGCAATGTTAACAGTCCATCTCAGCGCCCCGCACGTCACGAGCCGATTTCATCGCTCTGTCTCACCGTGCGGCAGGCATCCTCTTGGGGCAGCGTTGCCTTTTGTTGGCTGCCGTTCCGTCCTTAGTCTTGACCACGGGGGGCCATCGCCCCTCCCGGCGATGCGTGATACCCAAGAGCACGATTGCTTTACTGAATGGTCACCGGAATGTCTCCGAGTCACATTTGCTCTGTAATTCCTCGTTTTCCTCGCGGCGGAATTCCAAGCACGCTCACTCGTCAGTCAAGGATGGGCCATTGAAAGCGCAAAGGGGGGGGGGGGGGGTGGTGATACTTGCGAGCTTCACCCGCTGCTAATATCAGAGTTTTCTTACTTTCTGGCTTTTTTGCCCTTTCCATCTTTCGAGCTCAGTTAGTTTCATACAAATGATGTATTCATTTGCATTAATTCGAACAATCCCCCCCCCCCCCCACATCTAACTCCACGGGAGCAGGGCCCCCCGTCAGGGCGAAGGGCCTCTCTGTGGGCGAGCGACCGCGATGGCCTCATCCTCCGGCCACCCCCGGGGCCGTGGCCCATCGTCTCGTGCGCAAACTCAAGCGCGGCGGGGGGGGGGGGGGGCAGAAAATAAACGACAAAATAAAAACAGCGAGGAGCTCCCCCCCCCGCCCCACCGCTCCTTGCTCGGCACGATGAACAAACGTTGCAGCAGGACACAAACAGTAACTGCGCCACTCACTGCCAGAATGTCGTTTTAATGAGATTTAATTTATTTAACCTAACAAAAAGGCCTCGGTGAGCCGCAAGACTGTGTTTTTTTCTTCCAGCGGGGCTCTGCATTGAGATGTTTGGCAAAATTTCCACGAATGAGAGTTTGGCTGCGTGCGGGAGGATAGCCAAGAGACCCCGGAGAAAACCTCCCCACGGTACGAAGGGCTGTGACACTCGGCACTGCCGCCCCCTCCTGGCCATATCCCTATCCACGCCCAACCTCAGGTCCCAGTGGCTTTAGATAATTTCGCAACGATAACGATTTGAAGCTTTCGTGACTGCAGGAATCCATACTCTTTGGTTCTTTCGGTAAAGTCACGTAGGTATTAAATATATATTCAACACGTTTCAGTGCCTAAATGTGGCCGTGGTGTGATGGTTACCACAGAGTGGATATGCAATCCAGAGGTCGCCCCCGCCACTGCCCCTGTCCACCCAGTTGCGGTACAAATGGGGACACTGCAGTGTTGTCGAACCGGCCGGTTGTGCGCGGTTGGGTAAATTGTGGGTACTTCCACCTCTTCCGAGGCGTCCGTCCAGCGCGGAAGAGTAGGCCAGACACTTCTCTCCCTCTCTGTGAGCGGAGGTCCCTTCCGGACAGGAGCAGCGTGGGGCAAGCAATTGAAGGGGCTGCACTTTTATCATCTCTCTCGAAATCCACCACCAAGCGCCCGTAACGGAGCTCGCCCCTCTCATCAGTCTCGGTGCTCGCGCTGCTCAAACGCACGCTGGCTTCACTTCAGCCAAATCAGAGCCGACGGGAGGACGGACGGGCGGACGGAGAAACGGATCGAACAGTCACAATCTTTCACGCACTCTTTAGATTGCGAACCACGAACCGCAACACCGACAACAATAAATATTGCAATAAAACAGTCCGCTTACTTAAAACATCGATTACATCGCACCGCGCTCGCACACGACGAATACAACAACTTAAGAGGATCAATAGTTGATGAGAGGCACAAAAGCAGCGATTGTTCAGCAGAGCGCCGTGACGGAGAGCGCCGCTCTGCTCCCGCGAGCGACGCGGCGTGGGACTACATCGGCGTGCCGATGCGGCCCCCATCTCAAGGCGCTGTGAGCAAGTTGATTGTATCGAGAGGCAGAGAAAAGCAAGTTGGGGCTCTAGCCTAGACTTTGGGGCAGGGGGTAGACAGCACGGACGGCTGTGTGAGGTGGAAGGGGGGCAGCAGTAGACAAGAAGCGATCTCACACGGAGCAAAGGTTTGACCCGGGGGCTTCGACAGCAAGCCCTCGCTGCTGGGTGCGTGGAGGGGAGTGGAGTGAGATGAGAGGGAAGAGCTATGAGAGTGTGTGGAGGGGAGTGGACTGAAGATGAGAGAGGGTTGCTCAGAGAGTGTGTGGAGGGGAGTGGACTGAAGGTGAGAGGGGAGTGATAGGAGAGTGTGTGGAGGGGAATGGAGTGAGGTAAGAGGGGGAGAGTGCAGCTGTGGCACTTATCCAAATCACCGACAAACGTTGCCACCAGCCAGGAACCGTGTGCCAGTGCTGCTAATTAACAATGACATATAGAGATAGATGAAGCACGTCACCAGCCATAAATAATTTAAAAATAACTTTTTTTTTCCTCTCCCCCTATTACATTGAAAGGCTGCCAGCTTTTTCACGTTGCACTGTCCGAGCCTGGCATGCGTTGTTTCGCTAACCTCGGTCGCGGCTCATTAGTCTGGCGCCGTCGCGTGCCGAGCGTCGTTCGTGCACGCGGGCGCGCGCGTGCCATCGCGGGGGCCGGATCAAACGCCTCCTTCCGTCGGCGGGGGTGCGAGGATTCCCACGCGGGGGCAGACGATCGCGAACGCGCCGAGATTCGGAGCTGCGGCAAACACGGCAGGGGGGGGCGCGTGCGCGCGAACGAACAAGAGAGAGAGAGAGAGCGATCGATTTGGCCGACAGCGTGGGCTGGCACACTAAGTGGGACCGGTTGGTGGCATTCGGAGGCGAATGTCAGGCGCCGGACAGATAAGGGAGGTGGCAGTCGCGTCGAGCTACAGACGAACAGATGGTCCAGCAGACAGAGAGCTGGCTTGACGTACAAACTGGAAGACAGGCGGGCGGGCGGACACACGGCGTGGTGTACATTTACAGACGGTCGGGCAGAGATGGCTGATCGAAGGTGATGCATGTTGGTACAGACGAAGACAGATACAAAGGTGGTGCTGCGGCAGAGCTCAACAGACACGTAAACATACGAGAAGACAATGGTTGTAGGGTCAGGCAAACAGATGGTGATATGGACAGACAGCTATTTCGACAAACAAATGGGTATATTGATAGACAGATGGACAGACAGATAGACCGATGAGATGGCATCGACACAGACAAATAGACGGATGGACTGATAGACCAACAAACTGACAGACTGAAAGACTGATAAACTTATAGATGGACAGGCAGACAGTCAGACCGAACAACTCACGGAGAGAGAGAGAGAGGCATGCAGAGCGACGATGGCTCACCTCTGTCGCTGAAGTCGTCCACGAGGATGATCTCCGCGATGAGCTCCGAGGGCGAGCGGCTGATGACGGAGTGCACGGTGCGCAGCAGCGAGGACCAGCCCTCGTTGTGGAAGGGGATGATGATGCTGGTGTTGGGCAGGTGCGCCAGGTACCGCTTGGGCTTACAGCTGCGGGCACAGGACGGGAGCGGGGGGGGCCGCGGGGAGGGATCGCGTGGGTGAGGCTCACGGCGAAATCGGAGCGGCGACACGGCCGCTCGTGATCGAGGTTCGCGGTTCGAGGCAAGCGGCCGCCCTGGTTAATACCGCTTCATAGCGGACGCGAGAGAGATCCTACGGCGTTCAGAAAAAAAAAATGTGTCGGCCATGCCGTGCTGGCAGCATACGATCCTAATTTGATACATTTGATAAATTACCCGCAAATTCAAATGACTTAATTTTCGAAGCCACGTGACAACATTGTGCCGCCCCCCCCCGCCCCCTTGTCAGACCGCTGCCCATGTGCAGGCAGATGCTGCGTTCACCTTGTAGGAGGCACGTTGTAAATATTAAGTGATATTTATGCATACATATCGATGATGATGATGATGAGGAGGTTACAGGGAAACGTCCGAGGGATTACATTATCGCGGGTCGAGAAACGACTGTTATTTCTGACGAGCGCTTGATTGAGCGATGTAATTTTTCCCAGCGTGTGTGTGGGCCATCAAAACGTTATCAAAATCACCGGCGATGATTGTAACCGTATTTAATTATTTAGGAAGGCATCGGCTGTTTCGATCATACGAATGGAGCAGAGGTTTCAGATGGGTTCAGGATTGTATTATCGGCCCGCTATTGCTTTTTAAAAGGACGATAACGCGACCGAGATAACATTGGGGGTAACAAAAAAAATGTCCAAGGAACTAACACGGCTATTTTTTTTAAATGCGGGACATGTTGTTCCGCCGTTTGAATCTTTGTCCGGGGCTCACGTGCTCGCAATAAAAGATCCTTTTCGCTGGTAACAGCAACTCTTATACAAGAGATGCGACAAGGATGCCTCTTTCTCAGGCCCCGAAAGCTTTTCTTGGCCTCGATTCGCCAAAAGCACTTTACGGGACGTGGACGAGAAAAAAACCCAGCGAGCACTCCTCTCGACAAAGCAGTGGGTTTAGAAAAAAAAACACTCATCAATCAAGACTTGTTTATTTGTTAATGTTATTTATTTATTTGGTTTGCACCCTTGGATGCTAACTCCTGATAGCGCGTTTGTTGACGAGGGGTTTTTATTTTATTGTAAACTTATTTGCCTCTTTCGCAAGGAGATAAACTTCACTTGTTGTTGTTGTTGTTTTGTTGTTGCGTTGTTGTTATTGTGCACAGCAGCTTCAGGCTCTCTTGTTGGTGTTTCCTCACCCTCGCAAGCCTCACCCCCCACCTCGCCTTCCCGGCAATTCTATAAATGATTGCGGTTGTGTCGTCGCGATTTAGTGGAAAAAAAAATGTGTTACAATAGTTTTTTTAAACTGACGCTGTGATTCACTGCAGCACCCCGCCAAGTCGCTGCTGGGGTCATCGTAACCCGTCCACGTGTAGCGTGGCGGACACGAGTCGAACTTAACCGATAATTATATTCGCACGTATCGTGAGTGCAAGAACCGATTTGAATCGATGAATCCAAGCGTCGCTCCATCCCCGCACTGCCCTGTGTTCTTGGCCATTTCCCCGCAGTTACAGCAGGGGAGAGGGGTAGCGAGCTGGCGCAGTGGTTAACGAGCAGCGCTACGAGCCCAATTACATTGCTGGCCGCAGCTATGAATACGAGTGGCGAGTGATACCTGCACTGGTCCTGGGCGCTCTCCTTTAACAAGCCGCAAGGGCCAGCACGGTGAAGTATGATCAAATAGCCCCCACACTCGACACGGCGTCGAAAGCAGTGGATTGTGGAAGGACTGAAGATGATGTTTTTATTGTCGTTTCAGGGTGGTAATGAAAATGTTACAATGTTACAATGTTCGACTAAGCAGCTAGCTGCCTCGATGTGACATTCGGCCAAAACACCAACATTTAAAGCAGCTTTTATTAACAAACGCAAGCAGCCGTCCTCACCGTTGTGGCCGAAACGTCGTGAGAATTATTTTATTATGTTTTATTTTTATTATTCTATTACTTCCCTTCTACGTGACTTTACCGAAAGAACCAAGAAGATGAATCCCTGCAGTCACGAAAGCTTTAAATCGAAATGGACACTCATTTTAGCTCGAGTTAACCTAGCAGCGGGGACAGGCAACATTGCCATTGGCACACGTGTTGCGCAAGGCTCGAGATTGAACCAGCGTCACGGATAGCATGGTGCTGCGCTAACGGCCGCATCATTGCTTGCCATAAACAAAGACAAACTCGCAAACGCACACATGCGCACAGACACACGCTCACGCACCCGCGAACACACAGCCACATCAAAAGATGGCCCTGCTGATAAATCCGTGCGCACGAAGTTTGACAGCGGGCAATACTCTGGAGGGAAAGGCGTTATGCGGGCGGAATTGTCGATTTGCGTCGGTGCGTCGCCGCATTGGTGTGTCGTGGTGGCCGTGAACGCGCGAGAGACCAGCGAGCGGTTCGTGGTGGAGAATGGTGTGCGGTTGGTGACGGGGAGCCAGAGGGAGAAAGTGGACAAGGGCAGATACATCCTGGGACGTGCCAGAGTCTTGCTGGATAGAGGCTGGCTTGCAGGGGGCGACAATGGTGGCGGCGTGGGGGTAGAGATGGAAGATGGTGTGCGGTGTGGTGAAACAAGTGGACCAGGAGAGACGAGACGTGCTGCTGGTGGAGGCAGGGCTGGAGGGGCGGTGGAAGTGGGTATACGGAGAATTCGTTATCGCAGCACAGCAGGCTGGCTTTGGCGGGGCGGCTGGAAAGCGACTCTGCTCGAACGGCGGGGGTCGTTAGCAGTTGTTAGCGTCGCGGCGCCCCCATTAAGCCTCCCCGCGAGGGCAGGCCTTTAATTAGCGCAGCCGGCGATAATCGGCGATGACGGACCGCAGCGGCGTCACGCCCACAGCGCGTGTGACCTGCCACTTTAAAAAGAAAAAAAAAATTACCCCTCCCTCCACTAGCATCCATCTCCCCGCTCGCTCTCGTGCTCGAATGTGAACTTTGCGACCGGATCCAGAGGTGACGGTGAAACTAAATCTGTGGTTTGACACCGAGGTACTCGTACTAAACGTGGCTGCACCACTTGGCCCTACGCTGGCTTGCTCCCGCATGAACAGTGCTTTGCTCGAACCACACAGGGATCTGTAGGCATTGCTGGAGATTTTAACAACGAGCCAGAGAGAGCTGTGAGAATAAGCGCACGAGTCTTATGTGACCTAAACTAAACTTTTTTTTTTTATTTTACCAGGTAAGGCCCACTTGAGCTGTCGCTCTTTTTCAGAAACAACCTGGCCACAAATGATAACTCAACGACGCGGCTCATCACGTGGACATTTAGAGCAGCCAAAGACTCTAAACGCATGTCGTTGATTCCAAATCTGGAGGGAAAAACCAGAGGACCTGAAAAAAAAATCCGTGGGACGACAGGGATCGAACCCATGACCACCTGTATACCAGGCGAGGTAGTTCACATCTCGTCACCGAAGCTCCCCAACGGCAGTTAACATCTCCTATGACAGGCTTGCCCCTGTCTACGGAATGTGCAATTTCCACTTTTGGCTCAGGGCTGTGGAAAGGAGATGAACGCTCAGTCGAATGAGCAACCAATAGGACGGTTCTATCTTTGATTATTTAATAGCAACAATGATAATTTACAGCGCTTTGTCAATCCACTGCTGCATGAAGGCTTTCTCACCGTGCTGCGACAGCTTTGCGGCTTTGTTTGACAACGCCACACCGATCAGTGCGGGTTGGCGAAATTTTATTATTTATATGGCACCAAAAAAAACACTGGCATAGCTAAACGTGCCCTCTAATACGGACTACGATTCCCCCCCCCCCCCGCCCGCCCAGGTTCTTTTATTTCAAGAGCTGGGAAACGCTGAGAGAAACACGGGCGCACGAGAGAGAACACAACGCTGCCGCAAAGCCGAGGTAAGAGCGATGATACTTTTGTTGTTAAGCAGAGAGGAAAAGAGAGTTGAAATATTTTAAATCTAAATCATTCCACGAAACATAAAATTACAAAGTGCAAAGATAATAGGTCAGGATACAATAGCACTATTAAACATTTATGTAATATTAATCTGTAAACAAATAAGGAAATGCAGAACATGCCCTGCAACAATCGTACAGACACAGCAGAAGGCTCTTAAAGATGCATTTAAACGCCTGTGTACGGAATGTTTCAATCATCATTGAGTTCTCAGGGTCGCTCACTCCACTATGGAGCTGACTGAGTGCGTGCGCGCATGTCCATGCACCCGCGTTACCATGTGTGTGTGTTTGTGTGTTTGCGTGTGTGTGTGTTACCATGTGTGTGTGTTTGCGTGTGTTACCATTATGTGTGTGTTTGCGTGTGTGTGTTTGCGTGTGTGTTACCATATGTGTGTGTTTGCGTGTGTGTGTTTGCGTGTGTGTGTGTTACCATGTGTGTGTGTTTGCGTGTGTGTGTTACCATATGTGTGTGTTTGTGTGTGTGTGTTTGCGTGTGTGTGTGTTACCATTATGTGTGTGTTTGTGTGTGTGTGTTTGCGTGTGTGTGTTTGTGTGTGTGTGTGTCTGCGTGTGTGCGCGCAAGCGTGCCTTCACAAGTGCGGAGCGGTAGCTTAGTGGCTGGCGCGCTGCGCTACGGACCCGGCTACCTCAGATTGATTCCCACTCATGGCCACTGACACCATCGGTGACGTTCACCTGAACCGGTCCTGGGACTCCCCTAGGTTGACTCAGCCTCGAATGAGTACCTGGTGCGGTGTGTAAACATCGCCACGAGGGAGACAAAGGCAGCCGGGGATGGTGCTGGGCCCTCCACCCCCTCGAGTGCTGTGCCAACCTTAATAGGTGCTCGCAAACAACAATTGCCCCAACAATCTGTAAAGGCTACTAGGGGGGTCTTTATCACATGTGCACAAGTGCACACGTGGTAAGCAGTAGCCCAGTGTACCTGCACACTTCGCTGTGAACCCAGCGACTTGAGTGTGATTCCCGACCCTGGCTAACCACAAGTGGAAAGCGGTTTCAGAACCTGT